AAAAAAAAAAAAAAAAAATTGAATAAAGAATGGAGAAGGGTGGAAAAAAATGTTTTCAATTATTGTCCATTAGTGGCTGGTCTTCTGCAGACGGTATTTGCTTGAAGGTTTGAAAAAGTTGTGACTTTTCGAGATCTTTATTGTGCACAAAGAGGATGAAGCAGATTTTTGGTGATCACCTATTTAACTTTTTATTGAGTACGAGTGCAATGTGACATTACTATAGATGAAGAAAGGCTCTTGTTGGTTTGCGAAAACTGGCAACTTTTTGGCAGTTTTAAAGGCGGAAAAATTCTTTTTCATTGAAGTAGTATTTAATTCTTCCTTAACTGGGAAACTTCTTTGTGAAACATTTAATGGCTTTCGGGATGAAAGAGTTAATTTCTTCTGCTTAGTACTTGACTGCGAAGGCTACCTTGGAAGATTTTATCGATCCAGGTTATTCTCGATTTTTTTTTCCTAGAAGAACTATCACCATTCAGCGGTCTGGTACAAGTAGGAATTTATTTGCATTATTCTTTAATAACCTCAAAAATGAATTTCCTTTACTCGTGCGGCACGCTAAGTTTATGGGTTGTTCGCAGAAGTGATTTATTTACAGTTCCAGTTATAAGCAAATGGCTATCCGCATATCTAACTAATGCTTCATCTGTTATCATGTGGTACTAGGGTCTTTGGTTTCATCTACGTTCTTTTCTGTCTTACGCTGTTTAGAAGTAGTATTGTATTTTGATGTCTCCGTCGTTCTACTTGTTGATTTGATTACGGGAATTGGCAGAGTACCTCTTGAATATTTTTGGGATCTGCTGTCCAACGTTTTAGTTGCATTTCCAACTGGTTTTGGTGTATTCTGTTTGAACTTGGACTCTTATGACATAAACTAGAATCTTCAGGGAAAAAAAAATTGTTCAAAATATGAAAGTAAAATAAAATACGTTAGAGTTTAATTATTAATTTAATTATTAATAGGAAGATCAATGACACGCCATCTAGTTAAGCCAAGGGTTGGGAAACCTGCCGAAAGGAGTGTCTAATATTATTTCGAAGTGCGCTTTTCATGAATAACTTTTTCAGGGTATTGGAGTTCGTGCAGTTCCTACGCTTCGTGAGCGGCTGTTGGGACCTACCACTGGAAAACGTAAGTTCTTTTCTTTTTAGACTGAACAATTTCTCACACACAAGTATAACATAGTTTAGCATTCATATATGGCACGTATGCTTTGGCTGGAGCGTCACTTTTTGGTCTGGGTTTACTGTGTTACTATGGCATTGGTCTCTCCAGAGGTACCAGCATCATGGCAAATTCAGTGTTAGTGACCCTTGTGCTGTATTTTCGTGCTTTAAATTTTGTGTACCGGAAATTTATTTCTTTGTTCCATGCCTTATCGAGTTTTTATAGGTTTTGGCCTCAGTATGTTAGAGAAAGGCTACAGCAAACTTACGGATACCTTGCAGGATCTCTTGGTATAACTGCCATGTCAGCTGTTGCAGCTTCCCGTTCGCCTGCTGTTATGAACCTTGTGTCACGTGGAAACCTGCTGGTCTGGTTTTGTCATTGAAGTTTTTTACAGTGAAATACTCTGTGTCTGTGGGACCGTTTTATTGTCCACAAGCGACTGAAAACTGCCTGTGGAGGGTTTTCATTCCTTTTATTTTTTAACTTTCTAGACTCTTTTTGTTTCTTTGGCTGCAATTGTTGGCACCGGTGCTCTCGTTCAAGCAATTGATTATGATAATACTGGCATGAAACATTTGGCGTGGTTGGCTCATACTGCAGTTTTTGGTGTTTTTCTGGCTCCTCTCTGTTATCTAGGAGGACCAGCTCTCATTCGTGCAGCTTGGTATACTGCTGGGATTACTGCAGGTTTTAAAGCTTTTCAGTTACATTTGTTCATTCGTTAAGCTTATATTTTGTAATAAGGTTTAGTCCTTGCCAAGCTTCACTAGAGCGGCCACTGTGCTCAAGCGTACTATGTAGATGATGTTATGTGATGTATTTGCAGGCCTTTCTCTTATTGCCTTAACAGCTCCATCAGAAAAGTTCCTTCGGATGGCTGGCCCGTTGGCCATGGGTTTGGGTGTCGTCTTCGTAGCTAATATCGGGACATTCTTTCTGCCTCCAACAAGCGCTCTTGGAGCTAGTAAGGTTTATTAGTATTAGCTATGGTATCTTTTATCTTTTGCATTTCACTTCTGAAAGTGCAGATGGGGTCCTTCTGTTTTTACAGATAAAATTCTTTGAAAAGCTGCTAATTGGTTCACTGTTCCTCATCTCTAAACTTTTTTTTCGTACTTTGTGGCAGTGGGAGAGAGAGGGTAGAGAGGAGAGGAAAACGAAAGAGATTTTGGACGTTTTTCGTTCCTTGTAGGTCTTGCATCGATCGTTATTTATGGTGGCTTAATTTTGTTCTCCGCTTTCCTGTTGCATGATACTCAGAGGGTTGTTAAGTTAGCTGAAGGGCATCCAATGCACTCTCCGAGTCGTTTAATGCAGTATGGAGACTTTGAGGCTCCGCGATTCCGACGTTTCGACCCAATAAACGCGTTGGTTTTCCTTTCATTATCTTTTCCATTAGTTTTTTGCTGGAGTTCCCCAATAACACTCTCACCTTAGTTTTCCTTAGTTGAAGAGTTTTAGGCAGGTTTCGATATATTTGGATATCTTAAACATCTTTATACGTATGGCGATGATACTCGGGACTGGTGGTAACCGGAGGCGGTGAAATAAGCTTTTCCGGACCAGTTTTCAAATGTATATCCTTTCAAAAGTAGCATACACTTTACTGGCACAAAAGACCAGCTGTAAAAATTAATTTGATGAAAAGTAGATTAATTTGTTGGCGTTGTAAATCAGAGCCTTGTTCAAAATTTTTCGTGCGGGACGGCCATTGTTACAACTTCTGACTTGCTCGTGACGCATACTTCTGGATCTTTGTGATGAGTAATGATTTTCTGACTGTATACTGCAGAAAGGAAGCAAAAAATTTATTTGAAATGTCCAAGTCGAGCAGGCTTGGTAATGGTTGTAAAGGTCGTCATCTTTGATTTCAGATTTTTGTTTCATTCTGTATGTTATTTCTTGCTGTTTGTAGAAGTCATGGAACGTGGAGCATTTGTGACGACAAATGTAAACAGTTTCTTGGCCATTTTCCTTTTGTTCTTTGACATTAATCAAGGAATGAGGCAACAACACAATTCACAGAAAGAAATTGTTCAAGAAGGTTGTTTTTGAATGGCAAGGTTTAAA